AGCAGCGAGATAGCAAGCAAGTAAGCGGCATGGCTCAACCTCATCCTCTGTTATCATTCTTCGTTTGCTTTTCCGCCGTATATTCGTGCAATGGTCGAAATGGAAGAAGACGTGGGACCTTTCTGGTCCCTTTCATTGGTCAAAATCGTCGCATTTAGGAAGCGGAATATACACGGATTGTGCTTTTCTTCACCATAAAGAGAATAAGGACCTGGCAGGTTAACAACTCCTATCCTCTTTCTTCCCTTCGCAACAAGAATGTCATCTATTTTAGATTTTGAAGGCGAAAATGACGTGATCGCTCGTGACAGGGTCTGCTTCCACGCCCACGCTCGGAAACCCCCATCTCGGATGGCTCGGGTCAGACAAACTTTCCTTCCTACCTTTAGGAGTTCGTGCCACTCACGTGCCACTGCGAGTAGGATATTACAATGATCTGTTCATTGGCTGAAGTCATTTTCAGGACAGGCGCTACTAGTGGACGTAAGAGTTACTCCCCACCGGAGTCAAGCTTCGCCGTATCTCGTCCACGACCTCCCACCAAGATAGCGCATCACATTTCAAAATGGTTTACTCAACTTCACTGGATGTTACCGTCTCACTGCACTCTCTCGCATACACAGCATGGAGCGGTTTCGCCATTGTCAGTATGGTATGGCCCACCCTTCTGAATAATGGTTTCTTCGGAGGCGCATCGCACCTATGAATCAAATAACTACGCTACTAGGCTGCGTTTATACTTTGTGGCAGCGTCCACTTGCGTTTACCAGCGTCCAGCAGCGTATAGGATGCTATCTAGATAGATGCGTATAGGATGGGCAGACTGCTGGTAGAGAGTATTGGAAGTACGAGGGTGACAAACAGCTACCCTCTCACTCCTTTGAACTCTCTACCACTGTCTATATCCTCCTATCTCTCCATACTCTACCAGCTGTTTGCTACACTCCTATCCCCCACCCCCACACTCTGTAATGGCACCCCATCTCCCCATACTCTCCACTGCTTGACGCACCTGGTGGCTGGCACGCAGGTAGTCGCTGCAGCAAAGTATGAACGCAGCATTACGGCTCTCACTGGAGTGAAAATGCAATGTGTATCCCTGAATTGAAATAATCTTCGCAAAAAGCCTTCTAAGTTATTGAGCTGATCATTGCTATTGATGAATAGATTCTCGATTTCCTCAAAGTAAGCTGTAGACACTGTAAGAATTGTAACCATGACAAGCAGTGAGAATAATTTATTTATCGTAGAATACATAAGGGAATATTTAGCGAGCAAATCATCAAGCCTCTATCGTGTTGCTACGCAAATAGTCTCTGTACATTGCTTTCATTGACTCGTTGTCTGGAGTTAGAGGTGGAGTTGCCTCGACTGCGTCTTCTTCCACCTGAGGGCTTTCATCATCATTTTTTGCATCGATGCTCTCGACCATCTTCTGCTCGTTGCGCTCCTCTATTTCTGGAGCACGAGAGGAAGCACCACGGCGGCCAGTTCAACCAGAATGTTTCCATGACTCCTTTACCCTAAATCCCCGACTCTATGGTGCTTCACGCATTTCACACTGAAATCACAACAATTGCATACTCTCAGCAATCTGCATAACCCACATATAAACATTTGGAAGGGTGTGTCCGCAGGACTTGGTTAAGATCAGCGGCTATCCGCAGTCGTTTGCAGTTCAGTGCTCCTTCCTATATACAGGGGGGCAAAAAAAGTCACTTCGACCGAGTCACATATCAGCAAAGTTTTCGCTGCCCAGACAGAGGACGTGGATACGAGTACCAGGGCGGAAGATACCCAAGATGTTCCTCTCAAGAAGCTGGCTCTCGCCCATCACCTTCATGTACACCAAAATATGAAGTCATCTCCAGTCGAAACCTGACTGGAGATGACCTTCGGAATTCGTGTCACCTCCAAACAGCTGCGAAACTTCTAGTATGGAGTCACCCATGGATAGCTACCTGGAGACCAGTACTCTCGATCTGGATGACCATCATCGAGCAGCTCCGACAACGTCGCCACGGTCTAGGACATCATCTTCACCGCAGTCGCCAAGGCGCGGGTTGATGGTATGGACCGGACGTACCTGGAATGGAAGACCAATATTTTCTTCGTGGACCCCGGACTGAAGGTGAGCGCTGGCGGTTACATTGGGCAACTCGTGAAGAATATCCTCATGTGGTCGCCCGTACCTTCTTGGAAACTTTGTACTGCTACAGCATTGAGTGCCACCACATGAAATCGAAGGGCGTTGGAGAAACACTCGCCTACTTGGAATGGAAGGGGGCTGAGTACCTAGAAGATGGAATATCCAAGTAGGTCCTGACCTGAATCCCTCAATTACCCGGTTCGGGCGGAGTTCAATAGGGTGGTCTACGGTGGCGGAGAAATCGACTATCTCGCTGATCTCAGGCACCACATCGCGGTCGCGTGCAGAAATCTCTCGATGGCGCTCGTCCAGAAGGCTGTGGCGGAGTGTCATGATAGTATTTGATATGCTCTCTAATATGGTGGTAAAAATGTCCGATCAGAGTTCAGTAAAGTGTAACTTATAGCGCCTCGAAAGTCAATGAAGGAAAGTGACTTTTTTTTGCCCTCCCCCTGTACATCTCTGCCTTCTCTATTCTAAACCGCAACATTCCACAGATATTCATCTGCGGAGTCCGTGGACCGTTCTTTTCAATGTCATTATACACTCAACACTTCCAGTGAAGTGGGCGTGGCTGCGTACAGTCCTCATCATTACGTACTGTCGGGGCGGTTCAGTGCGGCTGCGTTTGGCGCGGGGCCAAAGTCGTTCTGCACCAGTTGTTGAAGCGGGCAAGTGACATTACTGTATTATATCCTTCGTATTACTCGTTTTCTACCACTTTTTGTCGCATACGCGTTTCAACAAAAAGGCTGAGAACGGCTTCAACAGTGTGTGCACTCATACTGGCTGACACGCCCCACCGGTCCGCAATGATGAGGACTGTACTTCACTTGAACATGGCGTAGGATGTTTGTTCGCGGGATGCTTCCATTCAATACAAGTGTCATCCCTCATCGGTGAAGTATGTTCAATGTTTTGGGGACTGCAATATCCTTGCCAAAGGGTAGCTGCTTCCCTTTTGATGGAGTCGCAGTCACACATAGAACAGGCTTCAGTTGATCTCCCCTTTTCGTTAGCATGGGATATGGAGTTATTTGTGAAGGGCACGACGTGAGATGCATCAGAACGCAAGTTTCACCTTTATAATTACTTCGCCTCTCGGTTGGGTTTCGTAATCCGCTCTGTATTCCCTCACCAACAGGTCGTGCGCTTCCTTGGACAAATGAATGTGACCAGCTGAATGGATTAAAATTATACAGAATCAATTAAAAGTTCCCATGGAAGTCTTTGTTGGTGCTCTGCCTTCGAGGCAGGCTTCCATGGGAACCTGCTGAAAACATGCACCTGAATGCTCGATTCAAGCTAAACAGTTTGATAAAACTCACGTTTCCCATTGCTCTCCATTCGTGATGAGGTGTTCACAGTGTCCCCGAAGAGACAGTACCGAGGCATGCTCAAGCCAACGACACCGGCGACGCAAGGACCTACGGTGAGAATCATAAAAAGAAAAAAAAACAGAAAAACCATACAACATACAAACTGTAGAGAAATGCAAAGGTTCTGTTCAGAAGGAGAGCACCTTCTCGGTCGGCAACAGGTATTATTGAAGGCCTCATTCCTTCGGTGGTAGTGGCTTTCGAATGTGGATTCGCAAATGGGTTCAGAGGGTGGATATTTCTGCTGTTTAGATCGCGTTCACGGACACGTGCAGACTACTATATTAGGTTGTTCGAAAAGTCCTGCGACACTTTGATTGAATTGTTCTAGAAAAAGACCAAAAATCATTTTGGATGTTTTTATCCCTGATTAGTGGAGACTGTCCTCTGGGGTTTCTGCACATGGGTATATCATGACTTTGTGGAAGTTTTCAAAGCTTAAAAGTCCCTCAGAGATCGAGGTACTTTTCGACCTATCCCATATTATGAGTTCCTGTAGGGCCACTCCGCCGTAGTCGAGGAAGCTAACACTTACGTTGTCTTGAGGAAGGATATCGCTTGCCATGGCAGAGGGTAGCTTTTGCATCAGCGCTTCCAGGCTGGACTTATTTTCGTAGTTAGGCAATGTATAGGTCGCCCACCAGCACAGAATGACGGCCCTTTACTCAAGCTTCTTGAGGCGCAGCCGAAGGTAACCACCAGTTGGCAACCTCTCTAGGCTCCACCTGACTGACAACCAATCTCGGTATTGGAAAAATTTTCTGTGAAGGATCCTTCATGGAGTTGGACCCCGTCGTGAGATCTCATACCAAATGAGCGCAGTGAGCTGAGTTCCCTTGTACACAATAGAAGAACTTTCATGAGATTTCGTGGTTGGTGGCGAGTGGTGGAGTCCTTGTGTACATCATGCACATGTCCCTAGCAGGATCAAGTAGATTGCCTTAGACCAAAAGCCAGATGTCCCATGGAATATAAGATTGCAGTGTGCTTATTGGTTGGATTTCCAAGCGGTATCACTGTATACATAGCTACCGTTGTAGAGGACATGTTAAGGACACAGTCCACTCTACATAAACTTCAAATATGGAGACTCACGGCTGAATTCATTTCAGAAATACTCAATTTTCTCTTCTACTCGGCAATGCGAAGACCGCATATGGGCTCAGGCCACGCCAAAACATCATGGATTTCGATCAGAGAATGCGACCGCACCCAGGTTATTTGACAGAGTTAGCAGCCTCTAATTAGCCGACCTCCTTTGGTCCCTATGCGCATTGCTTTGAAAAAGCGAAAATTCCGAAATATCGACCGCTTTCAACTCGGAAGAATGAGTGTCCTTCTCTCCTCTCTTTATCATAGTTTGTCATGTATTATGTTCTAATGAAGAATTTGGATAGAGGAGGACTGTGCAAAAGAAGGGCCAGTCCCAGTAACTGCGCTTACCTTGCATGTGGAGAATTCCTTTTTAGTGACGGAAAAATTTAGTTACCGAAAATTTAGTCAAAGTGTCGCATTACTGTTTTTAACAACCTAATAAAATTTCAGCTTATCTCTTTGACTCTAGGGCTAAATGTTTTTTGGGAGACAGATAGAGGGAAGAAAGGGGGATGGGTGAGGTACGAACGCCTTTCATAGCACCCTCTGCGTCTCCTACTTAGTTCAATATGCGGTAAGCTCTGACGCAACAGATAGAGTTGTTGTAAAGAGACTAGGTCGCTTCCGTGAGGGTCAAGTCGAGGTCGGCATCTGACCCTCTATGCCTCTAACAAAAGCTGGCAGGAGTGGTTTGTTTGGACTCGCTCAATTTTGAGTGCTGGCGGTATTTATGATGTGTTGTTACCGTCATTGCGTACAACCCTTACTTCGCTTCCAATCCTCAACGCTATGGCTGAGCCTGGTACAGGAAGAGATCCCCTTTATTTTAGCCTCAGCGTCAGCAGAGCAAATGAAATGTCAGAATGAACGTGCAGCAGGGCTGCGGGACATAAGAGTTCTGCCGCGTTTTGTATTGCACACAATTCGCGGCGCCGTGGCAGGCAGGAACGTAAACGGGAGTTGCTGCAAAATCGCCGCGCCGCTCAACGTGTTAATACATAGAGGGCGATGTCATGTTAATTGTTATGTTGATGTTTGTAATATCAAAGTTATCGACATGTTATCTCTATAATTAGAAGACCAAAGGACATGTCTCCGCTCTACTGCCCGTTTGAAGAAATACTGAACTATACAAGTTATAGGATGCTTCTATAACCTAGAATGCTGAAACTTGTTCTGCGCGACGTAGACTCCGAAATACGCCCATCGCTAAGTGATACACCTGCGTTTTCAAAATTATACTTCCACCTATAAATGTCTCAAGCAATATCCCTCCTAACACGAACGTCTTTCAAAAGGCTCCAATTTACAATCCAACTTGAGAACTCATTCCAGAGCAATTCAACTTTCTTTATTTTTTGAAAATTTCTCACTCTGACAATGTCCAACAAGTATACTTCCACTAAACGAATCGATTCAGAAAACAACAAGTGTACAACAAATTTAATAAATCGTCATTTCAATAATCTATTGCAGCCCCATTCTTTCGAATAAGTTCGAAAATGCGGTTCCATATGCTCGAATAGAGGTGGTCTATAATTGCTTTTTGGTCCGACCATGTTTGCCATGCATAAACGATAGCCTCCTTGAGCTTCACCGGACATTTTTCGAAATCGCCGCATTGTGGTGCCGTATATCCTGCGTACCATGAACCCAAACAAGGTGTTTAGGTCTGGGCTATTCGCTGGCCAGGGCAAAAGAGTGATTTGATGACGGCTGAACCACGCTAGTGCTTCGGCTGACATGAATTGGTGCATTGTCTTGCACGAATACAGGACTTTCATGCCGTATCCTTCGTTCAAAAGTAAACACACCATCGTCTGCATTACCTCTGCCGTAGCAGAAAGAATTCGATTTTCTTCGTACCGAAGCACAGCTTCAAAAATCCCATTGAGTGCGATTGCAGCCCAAGCCATGGACACCCTCCCTCTGAAGTTTTTCGCGCCTCGAAAAATTGAGGCTTATCTTTTCCTCAGATGTGGCCAATGTAAAAATCGATTCTATCTGGGCTCATTCGCAGATTGAATTTTCTAATCATTCGAAAAACACGACCTAGAAGAAAAATCTCTTTGCGATTTGACGGTTCGACAGTATACTTGTGTTTATAAGTATGCTTGTGGGACATTGTCAGCGAGAAATTTTCAAAAAGTAAAGAAAGTTAAGTTGCTCTGGAAAGTCCAGTTTCTCGAGTTCATTAAATTGGTACTGTAATGTACACATTTATACTTAGGGCTTTTTTTGAAAAACGTCCCGTGTATGGAGGGATAGTGGTGAGATTTATGGTGAAGTATACTTTGGGACCAGTGTATATCATTTAAGACAGTAAGAGAAAGCTGTTCAAATTTTTTTTCAGGGTTTTTCAAATTTTTTCAAAGCTCAGTCGCGTGTTGACAAAGAGTGGTCACCTGAGTTAACGCCTATTCGGAGTTGAACCCTCTCTCTTGGGAGAGCTGATATCCTGAAGTCGTCAACAAACTTCATGAAGGACAGTGAGAGCTCGGATATCTCTTTGATATGAGCGTAGCCATTCCTCACTGGAAGACCAGAGACGCACAAATATCCATCGCCAATCGACTCTACCTATCAATTAGTTTCTTTTGACTCCAGTTCACTGAACTAAGCTTCTTTTATTCAATTCTAGGCCACTTCAATCCGTAGGATAAGCTATGCTCTCAAAGTTTGGTACGACGCAGTGCTGAAAGAACCAACATTTATTACCTTGTACACGGAATGTTCTTCAATGATTGAATCGAAACCGTTATAAAGCTCGTTAAGAAGATTCACGATCTGCAATGCGAACAACGAGTACTCAGAACATTCCATAAATACTGCTAATAGAGCGTAATGTACGTAATGTACTGACTTGAAAAGCTGTGCACTTAGCGGCCAATTGAGTGAACTTAACAACATCCGAGAAGAACACTGTGACGCTGTCGAAACCCTCCGGCTCCACAGTTTGGCCCAATTTCAAGCGATCCGCCACTTGCCTGCAATTTTCCAATTATAGTGGACCCATTGAACAGAATTGAAGGCAGTCGGCGCTGCTCGTTTCGTTTGATGGCGTCTCATAAATGAGGAAGGGGCAATGGTAAGAGTGACTCCGCCTCACCACTGGCTTGGATAGTGCCTTCAGAATGAAGTATCGCCAGGTAGGTCATGCCACTCCTTGACGGAAATTCTACCTATTGGTTTTCAAAATCGTTGAGTAGAAAGTAGACACGCGCACATACCTGGGTAACATTCTTCCTAGGAGTATATCGGCTTTCTTCTTCTCCTCCTGCAGTTGTTTTGTTCTCTCTTCGACATCTAACTCGAGTGTAGTTGTGTAGTCTTCCAACATGTTGAACATGTGGTCCATCAGATTGGTTTTTGTTTCGGGCATCATCCCCTCCAATGAAGGTGAGTTTTCCAACGAATTTTTTTCTACTAATGTAATGCTCTTACTTTTAGCATCTTGCATAGAGTCTCACTATTCGGTCGATCAGCAGGCATTTCGCTCCAGCAATCGCGTATAAGATGGAGCTATAAGAAAGTTTGATATGAGCTGCGCAATCGTGCCCTTGCGTGCGTTTTTCATAGGATATCAGCGTTTCTATGTCAGTGGGAGATGGCTCGAAGGAGATCTGTTTCTACCGCTGGCACCAAATAGTACCTCACCCATGCTGGAATACGCTAGAAATGAACGAACTGGAGGTACTGTGGGCGGAATTGTGTCGCTTACGAACTGAAGGCAGTATCCATGCTCAAGCCCTTCTCGGACTAAGCCAGCCCGCCCCTTATCCTGAGTCAATTTAATTACCATGAGAAATGCCGAATAGACTTTCACTTCAAGTTTTAGCATGCTCTGAGTAGGCGTGGTGTACATGGAAAAAGTTTTGTTCACGCAGGACCTTATGCAGATTTAGACGCTTTAGGCGACGCGCGCCGACGCGTTTCCATTGCGATGGCGCTTCACTGCTGATCAGTCAGCTCCAGCTTAGTGCTTTGATAGAGTGTAAAATAATAGGAGGGTAGAGCTAATCACACAATCTCGTACCATCCTATTACCTTACACTCTCTAGAAACACAAGCAGCCGGTGCTGATCAATAACCGTCTGTATCTGCGTTCCGTTTTAGCACTGGAACGTAATTGCGACGGCAGCACGTCCTCGACGTCAACTCTAGCGCATTTCAATCTCGAGAATTGGAAATCAGTCATCCATGTTAACCGCTCATCACAAGTGTCCCGATTTCGAAAAACTGTTTCCTTCTCCAGCCGATTTCTAGCCGTTGACACGCGCAATCGCGAAATCTAAACGCTATCTAACGCTGCCTTATAGCCCTATAGCTCTGCAAACGTGCTTGAGGCCGGTAATGGTTGCCTACGAACTGGTGTTTGGAAAATTTAGCGCCTTTTTCTCCCAGAACGCAAAGAAGAGTAGCTGTCACGACTTTTCTGGAGTGCAAATCAAACGGAGACGTGTATGCTCTAAGGGACATTCGGTGAAGGCCAAGCATTTAGTCGGTCAAGCAGCAAACGGTGAACATTAGTGAACTAATTTCGTAATACTATGCACGTAATATGCAGTTTTTACCAATGCCACATTGATTTCGCCATCGTTCGTAGTGAGTTCGGGTCGTGGTGGTTGGAGCCCACCCTTTTTGAGCATATATAGAAGTTCTGAAATAACAAAATGAAACTAATAGTAGCAGAATATAGGGGATTTCGCTAAACTCTTGCATTCCCACCATCAGTTCGTTCTCTCCGCTCACGCAAATTCCACGCCGGCTTTCGCGTAACAACCTCGGAAGCAATAATAGCAAAAGAGTATATATCGCCCTCCTTGGAGGATTTCACGGACGTCTCAGGTGATCGAATATGCTCAGGAGCCATCCATAGCTGACCTGAACAGAAAAGGTATTCAGAGAAGGTTTACTTCAATGTCCTTTGAAGTCCGGATTTAA